TGTATTAATGCTATTTACTTCAAGGTTATGAATGCATGATGAATATTGGATTGTTGAGCTGGAAATTATATTAGGTACCTAGTTCTAAATTGGGAATTGTTGAGAAAACAAAGGTTATGCTGCCCAAATTTTAGTATAATTCATGAAGAGAGGTTGGATAAGTGCTAGGGTTAAGTTTAGAGGCATGAACCATTGAGGCTTGTCATGGGGATGCCCTTTTCCCCTAGTTTTGGGCTTGAGAAATGAGAGGGGGTGAATTCCCTGGCAGCGCGCTCAAGCGCCCTGGTGCGCGCTTCAGCGCCCTGCTGCCTCTGTGAGAGCCCATGCTCACTGCCTCCTCGCGCTGGAGCGCCCCGAGTGGGGGCTTAAGCGCCCAGGGTTGCGCGCTTGAGCGCCCTGGTTCGCGGTTAAGCGCCCTTAGCCACTGAAGGAGGAGATGCTTCTGCCTCTGCGCGCTAAAACGTCCCAAATGGGGGCTTAAGCGCCCAGGAAATCGCGCTTGAGCGACCTGGTGCGCGCTTGAGCGCCCATTTATACTGAAAGACCTGATGCTTTCTGCCTCCGCGCGCTTAAGCGCCCAGATGGAGGCTTTAGCGCCCGATAACGCGCGCTTGAGCGCCCGGTAGCGCGCTGAAGCGCGCGGGGCCTGTGTCCAACACCCTCTTGTGTTGCTTCAAATTGTCATAACTTGGGCTACAGTGCTCCAAACGAGGCGCGGTTCGAAGCCACGCGTAGCTAATGATTAGGAGAAGACATTTAATAAAATTTGGTCTAAGGATATAAGAGTATGATGTTAAGCTTAATTTATTTTATTCCGTAATGTAACATGGTTATGATCACGCGATTGGGCATTATAAATTCGGCATGTTTCCAAGTGTACATCATTGTTTACAACCTCAAATAAATACATCAATAAATGTTCTTCAAATCAATACATGCCATAGAACTTCGAATAACACATGATCAGGGTCCTTATTATAACAACCCACACCGTCAAGGCAAGTAATACCAAGTCAAGAGTACAAAAATCAAGTGAAAATGAGAATGTGCTATCGCGGGTAATTAGTTGTTACAACAATTATGCAAAAACTCACACTATTAAGTGATTTAATGGGTATTAATGACAAGTAGATGTTGGAATGTGATTTAGAGCATTTAGACATTTTTTAAGAAAAAGTGTGAATAGTAATTTTTGCCGGGGAAAAATACTGATGTGAAATTTACCCGTAGAACCTAGAAATGGGAAAATTATCTGATAAGTGTGTGAAAGTCCAATATACCCTAAACAAGTCATTGTAGGACCAAAAATATTATTTTTATAAGTTTACGAATTAGCGTGCAATTATGGTACAGTTAGTAAAACATAGTGCATTTACTTGAAAAATGTGCCCAAACTCAATTATAATATGCTAATATGATTCATTAGGGTAGTGTTTTGTTCAGGTTTTTGGTTTACTTCCCCATCTATTTGAGTTTTGTATTGTAGGTTGTCTTTGTTTAGTAGAGGAGATATGAAAATTTACCCAGTCAACCATTTCCCCAACCTTCGAAGTTCGCATGGAAAAAAGTAAACAAAACACTGTTCAACTTTTTCATTTGCAATGTGGTATTTGTGTAAAACCGGTTAAGTGGCTAAAAGTTACCTTATTTTGTGACAAAATTACCCTATTCTGTACCAAGCCAGCTTTACCAAAGTTGTGGGTTGCAGAAGACATGGCCAAAAGTTGAATACGCAAAGCCACAGGCGCCAATAGACACTCTTGTGCCCTGTGTTCTTGTACCTAAAACGGGGTCCTCACAACACGGGATAAGATAAACATCTCAGTAAACCAGGGGTCCTTGGAGAGTTGGAGGGTTCTTACACCCTAAAGTTCACTTCAGGCATAAACAGTATAAAATCATGTATACATCATAATATGTATATCAATGAATGTGTGCAATAAGTAAATCCTACTCGCCAGAGAATACAAAATGTATAAATTATGCAAGGAAACACCGTCTTGCAACATACTCGTATGAGGAAACACTGTCTTATACCATGCATAAGGAAACACCATCTTATGCCTCACACAAGAAAACACTCGTCTTGTGTGTCACACAAACATACATACATACACATGCACCATATAACAGTTCATATCCACATACCATATGAAAGAACCACCCTCCCTTGGAGTTTGGTGCAACAAAATGAGGGATTAACCCCAAGGACCGAAAGGTTACTTGTAAGTGTTTCCAACTCAATGCTTTCCTTAACAACCAATGAAATCTCACCAAACAAGCTTTATGTCCAAAGCAAGAATCAATCGAAAACTTGCCAAATAACAACCTTCTTTACAAGATAGACATGAAATCAATTTCTCAACGCAATCAATTGTAATATGTGAAAAACTACCATTATTCACAATTAATCGAAAACTACCATTGCAATAAGTGAGATAAAATATTTCCTTGTATGTTTCATGATTCTTTTTTGGGATAGATTATTCTACCTACCATTTTTTTTTGCTTACCTTTGCTTACCACCCTCCAACATTGTTAGATCAAAATCTTAACTAACATTTATCTTTTTCCTCTTCTTAAGATTCTGATCTAACGATGTGGAAGGTGGTAGGAAAAGATAGGCAGAAAAAATAATAGAAATAATAACTTATCCCTTCATTTGAAAATCGGTTACTAAAACATTAATTCATTTGGTGTTTTGGGTCCATAGGTGTGCCCACTTGATTTTCTCGAAACAGATATGCATGCTAAAGTTTATTATATTATTTGTTCGACCATGGTGACATATTTTAGTGCATGATAAATATTTAAATTCACCTTTCAAAAAATATATGAAACATTAAATTGGTTCTTTTAAAAAATTGAATATTAATTTTGTCTTTCATAATACAAGTATAATTTAGAGACTAACTTAATGTCCCACGATAAATTGGGTGACTAAATTGATGTCCATTTAGTCATAATCTTTTTATACTATACCATTGAACATGAGCCACGTTAGTTATGAAACAGCATCAAGCTTTTATAATTATAGGGAAAGATAATGACACAAAGTTAAAATGGAGTGTACCTAACATTTTTTCTCTTCACTGTGAAAATAACCTCATGACAAGTGGAATTCTTTTGGTTAAATTAAACTTTCAGTCATTATACATGACACACCTATTGTCTGTCTAAAATAAAGTTTTTAATTTAGTTATTATACATTAAATAATGGGGAAAGTACTTCTTATGTGACTGCAGAAGAGAAAATGTGTAGCAACACAGGATACGCGTCCGAATCCTGGTTTTTTTTTTTTTTTTTTTTGTTGATAGAATCCGCACGTGTATCCTAAGATCCGCACGTGTATCCTAGTGTTAAAAATTTGCTGCAACTTTTCTCATCAGCAGTCACATGAGAAGCGACGGACCCTTAAATAATTTTTAATTTACTCTTTATCGTCCATAGCTAGCTATGACAACACCATCATCTACTTATCTTACATGACTAATTATTGTGTATAGGGATTGAAAATGACTTTATGAAGATCGATTTGAAAACTGTATTATGTAGAAACAAATTAAAAAATGAGTACCGCATAGGAATTAAGAGTTTCCTGTCAATTATATTCACATAATAAAATAAAGGATATGTTATTTTACTTAACATTAAATGAGAATCCCAACTAACTTTACCATTTATTTCTCTCTTGAGATTGATCCAATAGCGTTGGAGATGAATTGATAAAATAGGCATAATATCATATCTCATAAAGAGATAGAATATTTTAACTACATTTTTTTTCTTGTCTATCTTATATATTCATCTTCAATATCATCAATGGCGGAGCCAGAAATAAAACTCAACTCGTGCCAAAAGACCCAAACAAGTAGAATTCAGCCAGTGCCAAAAACTCAACCAGTGTTAAGATTGTACCATAATTTTTTTTAAAAAAAATTGTACCATTTTTTAAAATTAGTTGGTGTCAAGGCACCACCTGAGTAACAAGTGGCTCTGCATATCAATGGATCAAAATCTCACTATTTCTCTCTTTTCTTGAGATTTTGATCTAATGGTATTGAAGACGAGTAGGTTAGGGGTGTTCGCGGTCTGGATTGGATCAGTTATGGAAGCAAAAATCATCTGATCCAATCTAATTTTTTTCGGTTTGTATTGGATCGATTTTTGATTTTTTGAAAATCCTAAAATTAGTTTCATGATTATTGTGCAAATAATATCTTTGGTATATATTGGCTTTGTAATTTTTTTTTTTGAAATACAAAAGCATCAGTAAACGATAATATAGTTAATTTTTTGGGCAATGAGATATGAAACTCTACACAGATGGAATTTTGTTGTTGAGATGTGATTAAGTTTTTCTTGGGTTTAGTTGATAGGTTAATGAGTCTTGAATTTAAAAAAATGTTGGGTTATGATTGGAGAAATACCTAAGTAGGCAGAGAGAAATTAATATATAGGATCGGTTTTCATCAACCCATCCGAAAACCGATCCAATCCAATTAAAATTTGCGATTTTTTTTCGGTTTTTCGATTTTCAGTTTATTCGGTTATCGATTTCTTGGTTCGGTCACCACGGTTTGAATATGTTTGGATTGGTTGATGAACACCATAAGGTAAGATAGACAAGAAAAAAAAAGTAGGTAAAATATTATATCTCCATAAAATAATAGTGTTAAAATTTTTTGCTCATTGTCAATCTAAGTTAAAAATAAAAATAAAAGAATACCTTAAAATAGGGATAACATGCAATTAAAGTGTGGTTATTAGCTTTCGGCATCCGTGTCTTTTTAAAGGCTCATGGGGAGCATGCAGAGAGACAGCCAATTCAACGAGTTATAAGTAGGAAATATCTTAAAGTGGGGGAAGGAAACAGTTACATGATATTATATCTACTACATAATAATTGCCTTCTCAATATCACTCCCCTCTACCTCTGTTTCTCTGTGTATGAGAAACCAAAATCCACATTGTACATTTGTTTTAGTGCCCCAAAACCATGAGATTCTTAATCTTAGCCTTTCTCTTATTATTATTGCTGTTACAAGAAGCTACTTGCTTAAATGAACACATGGAGCTGTCTCACTTCAGAAACAAACTTAAGGATAGAGTGCCCATTGGCCTGCCCCAACCACAATCATCAGCATCAGCATCTTCAGATACAAAAAGGGTAGGTGAAAATATTTTCTTTTCTTTTCTTTTTCCTTTTTCAGTTTTCTGGCTTTTCTCTGAAACTGAAAGCAAACAATAATAATGTCAATATTTTTTGCATGGTTTTGGTTTTGGTTTTGGTTTTGAATATGGAATAGGGAGTGAGAGTTTTGTACCCAGCTGAGTATGGTGCAGACCCTACAGGGGAAGGTGAAAGCAGTGATGCAATTCTGAAAGCTATAGGAGATGCTTTTGAGATGGAGAGTGAACTTGAAATGCTGCCAGGAGTTAAAGACCTTGGAGGAGTTGTGATTGATTTGCAAGGTGGAAACTACAAAATCAGCAAACCCATCACATTCCCTTCATCTGGTGGTGCCAATGTTGTGGTCAGCATCTTTTTCCTTCCTTTCATGCTACTTTGGTGCAGTTCTTGTTACTTTTTCCTCTGCTTTTTGTTTGATTGCTGCAGTAGTTGCTGTTACAGTCCTAGAAATGAAAGCATCAAGTACAAGGTTTGCTCAATATTATGACCATTCTATAAGTTTAAGAATAATTCTGTAAAATAAAAAGTGATTAACTAGTATTTTTTTTTATTACTACATTACTTAAAAATAAGTGATTTTTTTTGTCTTATATAAAGTAATAAGATTATTGTACATATACATGTCGACTAAAAATTTAAATCATTGAGGTAAATAAAGTTAAGAGAGTGGTTGCTTAATTTATGAGGTAATCATAGTTAAAAAAAAAAAGCATCATTAACCAGGTTAACAGGTCTTGGCTAAGCTTTTTGTTTTTTAAATATAGATCAGGCCAGACTTATAATTTGAGCCTACACAAGACTAATAAACTAGACCAAACTTAAAGTATTTTACATAAATCTGACCAAACCTAAGGCAAATTCCGTCCAACCCATTTATACCCCTACTTATTAGTCTGAAATAATTGCATCTGCTTCTCCAATGCACGCTATTCATGCATACTAGGAAGACAGTTGCATCCTGCACCTAGGGGGAAATATAATATAATATAATATAATAAAGGTGCCCCCAACAAGTTCATCAATGCATTCTTTGACCAGTCTCACTCAGCCTCTGAGAATTCTGAACTCACTGATATCTGTCACCTAAGGATACATATTAAAGGGGGCCACCCAACAACTTCTATTAAAATTCCTTCCCATTTCACCAAAATCTTAATTAAAATGTGTGACATAGTTCGCATACAGTATATATTCAATTCTGATGTTTCATAAAAGACTAAAAAAAGTGCACATTTTGTGATTAGTGTTTTGTAATTGGTGCCACCAATTTTTGGACAAGCTTTAGTAGATAGTATTCTGATTTAATTAAGAAAACTACATATGAGGGAAGTTAAATTGAAGTGATTTTACCTAAATCCTTTGGCACAGTTGGTCCGGAAGCTGTGTTCCCTTAACCAATGGTCTCGAGTTCGAGCCCTGGGTATGGAAAAAAGGATTGGGTAGAGCCGCCCCCGCAAGGGTCCTACGGTCCTCAGTTTGGAATTAGTCTCACCCCCGAAGGGGGTGGGGATACACTTCAGTTACTGAAAAAAAAAAAAAAATTGAAGTGATTTTTCTTGGCAAATGTTGTTGTCCAATTCTTCATCTTCTTTCAAATAAACTTGTACATGAATGATTGATTAGGTAAAAGGAGGAACCTTGAGAGCTTCTGATACATTTCCTAGTGATAGGCATCTTGTTGAGTTATGGGCATCAAATTCTCAAAAGCTACAAAAAACAGCATCCAACCATCATAATGGCTTCAACAGCAAGAAACTTCAGCAAACTACTGGGATTTACTATGAAGACATCACCTTTCGAGATATCTTATTCGATTCAAGCTACAGGGGTGGAGGGATCTTCATTGTTGATTCTGCTAGAATCAGGATTACCAATTGCTTCTTCCTCCATTTCACCACAGAAGGAGTTCTAGTTCAACATGGCCATGAGACATTCATATCAAGCAGTTTCCTTGGGCAACACTCAACAGTTGGTGGAGACAAAAGGGAGAGGGAGTTCTCAGGCACAGCTATTGACCTTGCTAGCAATGACAATGCAATCACAGATGTTGCAATTTTCTCTGCAGCCATTGGGATTGTTCTTAGGGGACAAGCTAACATGATCACAGGGGTACATTGTTATAACAAAGCAACAGGTTTTGGTGGCATAGGCATTTTGGTCAAGTTACCAGGAAATTCACAAACTAGAATTGACAATTGTTACATGGACTATACAGGTATTGTCATAGAGGATCCTGTTCAAGTTCACATCACTAATGGTTTTTTCTTGGGAGATGCTAATATTGTTTTGAAGTCAATTAAAGGACAAGTTTCTGGTTTGAATATAGTTGATAATATGTTCAGTGGAAACCCCAATAATAAGGTTCCAATTGTAACTCTTGATGGACAATTCAGTAACACTGATCAAGTGGTGATTGATAGGAACAATGTGATTGGCATGAGCTTGAGATCAACGGTTGGGAAGTTAACTGTGGCTGGAGATGGCTCAAAGTGGGTGGCTGATTTTTCAAATGTTTTGGTATTCCCTAATCGGATTAGTCATTTTCAATATTCATTTTACTCACAAGAGGAACCCAAGTTTTTGGCACATTCTGTGACCAACGTGTCAAATAATGTTGTAGTTGTGGAAAGTGAGAAACCAGTTAACGCGGTTGTTTCCTTCTATGTTGAACAATAGAGTTTATGAGTTATATGGGTTTTTCTGCTTTGTCTATCTCTGATAAATAAAATTTTGTGATTCATAGTACAAAAAGGAAAATTAGTTTTCACTACTTTTAATGACCTTAACATATGAATGACTTTTTTCTCTTTTATTTTCTCCCACTTTTACATGTAAAATTGTATATATTAGAAGGGATAGGTTATTCTACCTACTTTTTTTTTCTGCCTACATTTGCCTACCACTCTAAAACATCGTTAGATCAGAATCTTAATTAACATTTATTTTTCTCTCTCCTCTTTAAATTCTGTTCTAACAGTGTTTTAAAGTGGTAGACAAAAGTAGGCAGAAAAAAAGATAGGTAGAATAACGTATCCCATATTAGAAACCATCTTATATTTTAAATAGCATTTTATATAGGTCGCACCAGTTAAAAGTGGCCTTTGGACCCGAAGGTTAAAAGTTTGATTCTTGAATAAATATTTTTGAGGAAATGCTTAGCCTTTATCATACCTGGATCAAATTGCGAAATCAACTATTTGAAATAGCATTTTTTGAAAGCCTTTAACATTTTACCACATTTTAATAAAAATTGTGAAATCAATATGTATATTAAAAGATTGATAAATAGATTACCAAAAATAAAAAGACTGATAAATAATAATTTGGTATGCTCTTCCTAATAATATTATTATATTTTATATTAGTCGACATACCCTTTTCCAGGGGAAGAATATCTTACATTTTTAATTAACTATAAAATTGAACTATTTACTTAATTACATATTATCCATGAATTTATTTTATTATTTGTCCAAATAATCTGATTAATCATAAAAATGATACTATTCATTCTTTATATAATTTTTTTAACCATTATTTTATTTCACATAACCAGAGCATGTGATACTCCTATCTAATGTTATCAAACTCGAACTGGTCATCAACTCGGTTGGAATACGTGATTAATGAGTCACCGGTTCAATCAATGGGTTATTGAATCAACCGCATAAATTAGATATATAATATAATATAATACATATATTTTTATTATATATAATAAATATAAAATTAGAAATATTTTTACTAATAATTAGAGTTAGATTAGTAGTAAGTATTAAAAGTTATAATCTACATAGTTTAGGTTCGAATCTCATTAGTGATATTTTTCAAGAATTTTGTCCAAAATTCCACTAAATTATTTTTTTCTTTCTAAAACCAGTACCGGTTTAATATCGATTGAACCCGGTTCAGGTTCAATTCACTGATTTTATGCCGGATCAAATACACAATCCGTTCAAGATCTAAACGAAACCAATTGGGGGTCTGATTTACGAGCCAACTAATGAAATCAATGGGGCCGATTTTTATAATTGTGCTTTTACCTTTCATATATTGTAAAGGGATAGATTATTCTATGTACCTTTTTTTTTTCTTTACCTTTGCCACCACTCTCCAACACCATTAGATTAGGAGAGAGAATTGATAAAGGTTAGTTGAGATTCAGATCTAATGGTGCTGGAAAGTGGTAGGTAGAAAAAAGATTTCCAATTATTTATTCATCTTTAGAATTTTATGCTAATTGAGATAATTTTTTTATATGTTTAGCTTTATCTTAATTTTAGGATATTTTTATCATTAATTTTATCTTTAGTCTTATAATTTTTTTTAAAAGGTAAAACAATTAAAAGTCTACCACCAAGAATTGATAAAGGATGTCCTACTGTGGTTACCCTTGAATTTTGTCCTAATTCATTATATGCATCGCTTGGCATTTTTTTTCTCGGATAATGTACTTCCCTAATTTTTTTTTCAATAAATAAGCAATATGTTTTTTTATTTTATTTTTTGATGACTTTATATTACTTGTGTATAGGTTTAATTTGAATTTTTTAAAGAAAATTAAAAGCATCGTCGTATTGAAAAACTTACAAAATTCTTTTATTTTAATATTTGGTAAAAAATTTATATTTTAATGTATTAATTTGATTTTTTTTTAATGGTTAATACAATAAAGAATGAATAATCTCATATCTTATTTGAACTTAATTGTGTTTCGTGAAATATTTCAATTATTTTTTATTTTTTTTGGTAGTCAGGTTTGAATTATTTATTCATAATTCAACCATCACAAATTTAACAATGGAGTTGTAAAATACTTAAAGATTGAAGCTTTAATTATTAGATTTCATTTGACTTCAATCACTTTTCCTTATTTTTAAGATACTATATAGATATTAGTTGAATAACTTACTAAATCTTAAATAATTTATAGTAAATTAATTATGATGGGAATTGGGGCAAGTTATTAAGGAGTTCAGTTTAAATTTCACTTGCTACAATTATGAGAGTTTGGGTGAAATAAATTTAATAAAACATTTAATGGATGATTTGAAATTTCTATATCTAAATCAAATTTATAACCTATTTAACATAACCCACTTCAAAATATTTGACATTTAAACAAAAATTGAATGCATTTCAAAAAAATTTAATTATCAAGTTTTTTATCATAAACTTTCCTTTATTTATTATATTGATTTAATTATGATTATTTATTCATCGTTAAGATATTACGTAATCAATTAATCTTATTTTTATCTTTTGGCACTGTTCTTGACTTTAGCTTTATCTTAATTTTAGGATATTTTTATCATTAACTTTATCTTTAATCTTATTTTTATTTTTTGGAAAAGGTCAAACAATGTAGAATCTGAAACGGACAGTTGATAAAGGATGTTTTATTAATGGTTGCCCCTGGATTTGAATATGTTTTTAATTTAATTAATTGATGAGTTTCTTATAATAAAATATCCTTTATTTATTATATTAATTTTATTGCAATCATTTATTAATTTTTAGAATTTTATACTCTAATTGATTGTAATTATTTTTTTTCTTTTCTTTAATCAGTTAATCTTATCTTTTCTTAATTTTAATTTTTTTTTTATCTTTTGAAATTTTCCTTAATTTTAGGAAGAAAAAAACTATCATCATTTATTTATAACTTAGTTTTATCTTAGTTGTTGGTTATTTTTATCTTTAACTTTATCTTCAGCCATATTAATTTCAATAAAAAAGATATCAAACAACTCCTTATATCAAAATAATTTGAGGATATTTTTATTTATATATTTAAACAATTTAAAATATCCTGAAAGATCATCTTTTAAGAATCGTTTCTATATTTCTGTATTTGTGATTTGTTTCTTTTTTTTAATCTTTTTAATATCTTAGAAAATCTTGTATATCGATTATTAATATTTCCTCCCACTCCACTATAAATAGGATTGACTTGATCCATGCATGCATGAACCTTTGTTCTTCTTCTTCCATCTATTTTTCTTTCTATTAAAAAACATGGAGCACATTGGAAAACGTCTGAGCAAGGGACAACAACATTATAAACTTCAGCAGCGAAAGCAGAGTTCAACCGGAGTGTTCGCAAAGGTGAGACGTGGTCCTCGTTGCGGCTTTCTTGAGTCGTCTTCCAATGATGGCAGCATCGAAGCGTTCACAGAGGTGAGACGTGGTCCTCGTTGCGGCTTTCTTGAGTCGTCTTCCAATGATGGCAGTACCAGCACTGAGACAACCTGTCATCTTAAGTCACCCAAGGTTCCTCAGATCTTTGATTATTTTGTGGTCATAGACTTTGAGGCTACCTGTGACAAGGATAAAACACCTCACCCTCAAGAGATAATTGAGTTTCCATCAGTCATAGTGAGTGGTGTCACTGGTCAAATAGAGGCATGCTTTCGGACATTTGTGAGGCCTACACATAATCAGATCTTGACTGATTTCTGCAAGGATTTGACCGGTATACAACAACATCAGGTTGACAGTGGAGTTACATTGTTTGAGGCTCTACTCATGCACGATGAATGGCTTAAAACCACTGGAATAAAGAACTCCAACTTTGCTGTTGTCACATGGTCTAACTGTGATTGTGAGGTAATGCTTGAATCTGAATGCAAATTCAAGAAGATACCAAAGCCTGCTTATTTCAACCGGTGGATCAACCTAAGGGTTCCTTTCCATGAGGTATTTGGTGATATGAGGTGCAATCTAAAAAAGGCTGTTGAGATAGCTGGATTGGAATGGGAGGGTCGTGCTCATTCTGGACTTGATGATGCCAAAAACACTGCTCGATTGCTGGCATTGATTATGCACAAGGGTTATAAGTTTTCCATTACCAATTCCTTGCTGTGGAACCAGTCTGAAGAACAAGCAAGAGTTTTTCCTGAATGTCCTGTGATGATTACCCCCTTGGTTCAGCAGTATCACCCTTATCTTCACTATGGGGTTGTGATGAATACCCCTGTTGTTCTGTTCACTCCAATTATTAGATTTTGATTATCATGATTTGCCTTGTAATCTTGGATCTCATATTTTGAAATATACTGTAAATATTGTGATCCATTGTGATTTGCCTTGTAATCTTGGATCTCATATTTTGAAATATACTATAAATATTGTGATCCATTGTGATTTGCCTTATATAATAAATCTTGCATATTATCATATTGAAATCACAGTTGACTAGCTGTAAGTATTCTCTCCTACAGCTCTTTCCTATGGATTGAAAAAGTCTTAGTCTATATATATGAGAATGCATTTTCGCCGAGTATGCCATATATCAAATTCAAGATGATCTACAAATATTTGTTCAAAAAGCTCGTTCTTAAAATTTTCACCCCAATTTGAAGGGAATACTAATCTGAATGCTGTCAAATTTTGACCCTAAAATTAATATCAATTTAGAAGGTGTACTGTAAAGGGACAATTTGCTTCTTTATTTATGGCAAAAATTGTTCATTTGAGACCAAAACATTTTTACCTTGTATTGTTTAACTTCGGAGCAGAAAATTCAAAAAATAACAAAATTATAAAAAAGAAAGAAAGAAATGTGACTAATTGTTAAATGAAATATCACACCACCAAAAGAAAAGAGCAATCATAATCACATGTCCTTTTAGAGTCACAATTCCAAACCTTATAATAAGCAAACCATGCATTAGTCGTCAAGAACTTGCTGTAGCAGGTTTCAATTCAGTGGTTCTTTTGGCAGCCATTGTGTGTGCTCTTGGCCTCAACACAAGGTTACAATGTGTTTTCCAATGTGCTAACCGTGTCTTTACACAGCCTCAACGATTAAT